CCCTAGAAATGGCGGAGAAATTGGCACCGGAGAAACGGCACAATTTCATCCACAACGGTATCTCTCCGGCGCTGTTTTCTACTTTTGCAGTTTGATTTTAGGTTTTGGGGATTGAGAATTTGAAATGGTTTAGGTTTATTTGCGTCTGAATTTTTTTTTTTTTAGGTCAAAGGGTGTTTGAATGGGATCAAACTCTAGATGAGGTTAATATTTACATAAATTTGCCTCCAAATGTTCACTCGAAGCAGTTTTACTGCAAGATTCAATCGAAACACTTCGAAGTTGGGATCAAAGGCAATCCTCCCTATCTCAATGTCAGTTTCTTTTGGATTTCTTTATGTGACTTGATAATTTTGCAATAATTATTCATTTGGTAGAATGATTCAGTTTCTGAACCTTTTTATGGCTTTTACAGCACGATCTCTCCGGCCCGGTGAAGACAGATTCGTCTTTCTGGACACTTGGTATTTTAATCTCCTTGCCACATGTTTATTTTAGCTCTGTATTGTCTGTTTGATTGCTGAGAAATTTGGGATTGTGGAATTTTTTTTTGAAGACCCAAATGGAAAGTGGAACATGTGTAAAACTCTATTCCCCCCACTCTCTCCTTCCCCCATTTTTGAGTAATCTACTTTTCATGATTTTTGAACTAAAAGTTGGGAACTTTGAATATGCAGAGGATGATATAATGCACATAACACTGCAGAAGAGGGACAAGGGTCAGACATGGTCATCGCCTATTTTGGGTCAGGGTCTGCTGGACCCTTACTCCACTGATCTTGAGCAGAAACGCCTCATGCTTCAGAGGTTTCAGGAAGAGGTTTTCTGTTTCCCTTCTATACTTATGTAGTCTAGCTTTGTCGTCTTGCTTTTGAATTCATCCCCAATGATGGCCGTCAAAGCCATTTACCTTTCTTAGTTCATTTCGTCAGTGACTAATGGTTTGACCTAAAACTTTATTCCCACTTGTAGTCTTCACTTAAGATCCACCTGTCCAGTTCACTGGCTTGGTTTCTGTTAACATCACCAATTGTTTAGACTGCTTTGTTGTGTTTATCATATATATTTGAAACTTCCATCATATTTTCTGATGTGGTTTCAAAATGAGATGTTTTATGATGAAGGCATTTATTTATTTATTTATATTTTTCTTTTTTTTTGGGGGGCGGGTTGTGGGGGAACTGGTAAGTACTTGTATTGCAAAATCCCAAATGGGTATTTACAAAAGAAACTACCTAGGCATACCCAAGTTTACACATAGACTAAATACTCCAAAAACAAAAGAACAGCACTAACAATCAAACAGCTCTAACTTCCACTACTTGCAGCACCTGTCTCACAATACCAGAAAAAGGGGTGATTTTCTGCTTGAAAATCCTAGAAGTCCTATTATTTTCATTTTTGTTTGACTATGTTGGAACTATTGAAGTTATGGTGAAATACTTGATTTTTTTCCCATGACTCTCTGTATCAACATTGCCATTATATGTTTAAGGTTCTAGTAACAATGTTTTCCTTTTTGCAGAACCCCGGTTTTGACTTTTCTCAAGCTCAGTTTACAGGTATCTGTCCTGATCCGCAGACCTTTTTGGATGGTATCCGTTCTGATTGACACTCTTTGGTATGCTGACTTAATTACCTTGAATAGCATCTTCTACACCATTGTTCAGTAAATAAAAATCTCGACTGTGCTTCTTTCTCCTTTTTGCTTATCAACTAACCTTCCTTTCATAATAACTGTATAAACATGTAGTCTGTGGTCAAGATCTTCTCATGTAATGTAAGAATGTATGTATTTGCTTACATGCATTTCTAGCCTTGCCTGTGCTTAAATTAAAGTAGTCTATCCTTGAAACTTATACTTGTTGACTAGTTGAGTATTGAAAGTTATAGATTAACCTTGAATAATAATTGATAAATATCAATGAATTGAGACTATTAATTTATGAGGGATATGTTATTATCTACCATTCTAGTGGATCTGTTATTGACTGTGTAAAATAATATTGTCAAGATTGGGGAAATTTTGCTGTGTGTGTTGGAATCATCTTCTTCCCTGAACTTGAGGGGGTTCTGTTGGGTTAACAATGTTACATTTCTTAGGATGATAGTGATTAGTGAAGCATGGGAAAATGTGACCCGATTTAACAATTTGCAGGTTCTGTGTGGAATCAAACATTAAGATGGCCGAGTGTTAAGCTTGTATATTATGGTTGTTTGGCTGATTTGATAATCCTCCTCTTAATCTTAGAAACAGCATGCTACAAGGAAAGTATCAGCAGAAATAAGGTAGAACAGTAGAACAGAAATAGGTCGAGAGATGTTTGGTGGGGGATAAAGGGATTAACGGAAAGGGTTACTAAGGGAATCCCATTATATTATAGAAAGAAAAGTGAAAGCTGAAAGAAAGAGAGAAGTAGAATCGTATTCTCTGTTTTTTTGAGCTTGCATTGTGATCCGTTACTTTTGAAGACTATAATAAGAAGCTCTTTTTGATTTCTCGGTGCTCAAAATGGATGGATGGGTTAATAAATAGAAACTTTTTTGGGAATTGATCTGGAGACTGAAAATTAGGAGGTGTTAATCATGTTTATATTTTTGGGGAGATATGATTTCTTAGCTTTAGAACTACTTATTCATATGGATGTCCTTTTTCTTTTTGATACATTTGATAATAGGTGATACAAAATGTCTCTCTGGTCTCTTTTCATTCATCTTAAAGTTTGGACTTAAGACTTCAAGTTTGGAATCTCAAACTCTTATCCATTGAGTAAAGTGTTTATAAGTTAGATTTTCAACTTTAAATTTAAAACTGTCGTTTTATTAAATTCTCATTAAAAATGAAATTAATTTATTTTTAAAACAAGGATGAGGTTGAGTCTGTTTTGGTCTTTTGCGTGGTGTTTTACTAAAATGATGTTTTTGAGTGTTTTTTCTCGTAATGTTTTAGAAGTTTGGCTGATTAACTTTGATCAAAGATGCTTCTATTTTTTCCCTTTTGGAGATCAGCACACTCTCTTTGATCACTAAGGAGTTTATGTATAATATCACAAGTCATCTGGATTATATCAAAATCTAACTCAGCATAAGCATATCAGTTTGTTGGACTACTCACCTAACTAAAATCTCAAAACTTCCAGCTTGACCAACAAATGTTGTCTATGTTCATTCACGCCTGAGAAAATAAAAAAAAAGGAGGCGGCAAGGGCTGCGCAAGGTAACTTGGATCTGATTTCTATGCCTCAACAGATTTTCCTACTCAGCCATCTCCACTGTACTTTCTCATCCCACATCGCTGTTACCGATTTTACTCGCTGTTACTGTTTGGTATAATTAAGGTGACATTAATTTAATTAAATAGTTAATTAATAAAGGTTTTTTATTTTTTAATATTAATTAATATAAAAAATGTAACCTTAAACTATAACTTTATTTATATTTTTCTTTAGTTATCTCAATTTAATTTTTACATAAATTTAATTAAATAGTTTTATATAGTAAATAAATAATAATTAAATATTTTTTAAAATAATATTTATTGAGTATTTTTATTTAAATAAAAAATATTTTAATTAATTAATTTATTTATTATATAAAATCGTTATTCCAAAGTAAAATTAAATCCGAGCGGGGGTATTACTACTATTTAACTTTTCATTCTCTTTGTGGCGTCAATCAATAATTCCATGGCTGAAGATTTTATTATGGCGGCGGCATCGATCTCTCTCCCATGTTTGCATTTCCAAGGTCGATCTTCTCAGCTGTCATCCTCCGGTCTGTCATTCCGGCGGTCCGTTCCTCTTCCTCTCTGAAAAGAAAAGAAAAGAAAAGAAAAAAAAAAAAGGGGGAATCCATTTCCATGGTGTTGCTACATATAGAAGTCCCTCACACAAATTCGTGTCTGGTGCGCGTCCCTTCCCTCTCGACACGCCCACACACCATTTCTTTTGTCTTCTTTACGTGTACCCTTTCAATTTCTCTCCTAAATATCTCTGCTTTTAATGGATCTTCACAATCCCTAACAACAAACCACGCCCCCAAGATCCTCTGTGTTTCTTCCCTATGGCGACGTCCCTCGAGCACACCCAGAATCACGATCCGAGTCAAAACGTTCTCATTGTGGGTAATTACTGCCACGATGTTCTCCTCCGGAACGGCGACGTGGTGGCCGAGACTCTGGGGGGCGCCGCCTCTTTCATTTCCAACGTGTTTAACGGCCTAACCGTTTCTTATCATTTGACATCGAAGGTTGGCCTAGATTTTAAATACCCAGTTAGTTATGACCCGATTGTGGTGTCATCGGCGAGGACGACTGTTTTCCATGCGCATTTTGATCTGGGTTTCGACGGAAATGGGCATCAAGATCGGGTCTTGAAACGGGTTGTCGCATGCGACCCGATTTGTCCGGGGGATCTGCCTGACATGAGGTTCGATTTTGGGATGGCGGTTGGGGTTGGTGGTGAGATACTTCCCGAGACGCTTGAGAGAATGCTTGAGATTTGTGATGTGGTGTTTGCTGATATTCAGGCTCTGATTCGGATTTTTGATGGTAATGATGGGACTGTGAAGCATGTGGGGTTAAAGGAGAGTGGATTTTACCATCTCCTACCGAGAATTGGGTTTTTGAAGGCTTCAGAGGAGGAGGCCTTGTTTTTGGATGTTGAAGAGGTGAGGAAGTGGTGCTGTGTGGTGGTAACACATGGTAAAGATGGCTGTAAGTTGTATTGGAAGGATGGTGAGATGAAAATTACACCATTTTCTGCCAATCAGATTGATCCAACAGGTGCTGGGGATAGCTTTTTAGGTGGTTTTGTTGCTGGGTTGGTTCAGAGATTGGCTACGCCGGACGCTGCTTTGTTGGGGAACTTCTTTGGTTCTCTTACTGTTGCACAAATCGGTCTGCCCAAGCTAGAGTTGAGACTGTTGCAGGTTTGTTTTTGAAAACCCCACTGCCATATTGTTAAAATTGTTTAGAATGTTATCTAGTTACTCTTTGTTAAATTTTCTTCTCTGGAATTAGTTCCTTATTGTTTAGCAACATGGCATGGTTGAGAAACAAATGAACAAATTGATGTTATCAAATAGAATGCAGGTTCAAATATGTAAATTGAGAGGGATCATTCATCCTTAAATGCAACGTTTAAGATGTGCATTGACTTTGGATGACATGCCTGTAGCAGAGTAGAATCTATTTGGAGGTTTTAAGAATGTCTTATAAATTAACATGATCCAAAGGCAAACCATACAATGCCTTAATGCTGCTGATCTATTTTTATTGAAGGTCTGTAAATGGGAATTGGCACCATTCATATTCTAATGTGGTTTGCTTATTTCTACCCCAATCTCCATAGTTTGCTAGGACAGAGATATCTATGAGCTGCATCATTGGGATGAATGGTGGGCTCTAGCTATATACTTATAACTGTTTTATATTGTTTTTTGTGTCCATAGTGTTATCTAAGATTGGTTGTGTATCCTAAATTCTTTGTTTGTGGAACTGCTTCTCTAGCATTTTTTGCTGATGATTACTATCTGGTCAAAATTTTTGCTTCTGTTAATATGTTTGTGTATTGATTTGTGCACGTTGTCTTATAGGGTGATAATTCTTTTTGCAATTTCAAGGTCCGTGAATGATTTTATTTATCTCAAAATGTTCTATTCAATCCTAATGTCAGAGAATGACAAGATTCCATAAAATTTGAAACAACATTGCGTAAAGAAATTAGGTTACTTGTGGATTGTGATCATGAAAATGCTGACCCTAATGTGAAGTTGACAATTATGTGAGAATCTGACTCTTGGGCAGAACATGTGTTCTCATTCTTGAGAATATCATTACTTAAGAGGGTTCACAGGGGCAGTCCTTTTAGGTGCAATTTGTTGAGATTGCTTTCAAGAAAGTTCTCTCATGAACTTTTCCTTTTGCCACTTTCAAGTTGTTGGCAACTCAAAACACGAGAATTGAAATGATTTCTCTCCCAAGTTTGTAAACTTGAACAATTTCATTTCACAATTAGGTCCTTTTCTTTGGAATTATTATGTTGAAATGCAAAGATCTTTTGGTGTTGCATGTTGCTGATGGATTACAACAAACTACTCAGGCATCATATCCATTATTTAATAATGGCCTGAGAATAATTCTGAGGAAATTTTTTTTTTTTTTTACTTATCATATCTATCATTTACATTTCAGAAAGTCAAGGATGAGGTGCAGAGGAGGAAGATGCAGTACATCAGCTGCTCTGATAGAGTCGATGAGCTGAAGTTCATGAAACCATTGGGACACGAGGAATTCCATGCTTCCCTAACTGCAGTTAAATCAATGTCTACACATTCAATTGAAGAGTGTCAACAAGATCTTCCAGTTTCTCCCAAGCCAGTGGAGCAGATAAAAAGCGTTCATTACGCCATGCAGCCTAAATTGTTATTGAATAATCCTGTCCACGAGACCAATTCCAACGGTCCAGGGTAAACCTTAAGATCGGTCAGAACATTTCTCTGTTTTCTGCAGGAGATAAGTTTTTAGATTAGTTATATATAATTTTTTATACAATTTATATTTTATGAAAATAATAGATGAATTTATTTTATTCATATAAATCATACATTTCAAATTTAAAGTTGTTTGATATAGGTAACCATTCAAAAAAATAAATTATATTTTTATACTATTTATTTAAGGGTTTTAAAATATATATCATTTAAAAATAACTAAATATATATAATCTTATTGATATAGCTAAAATATATTTAATTAATTTAAAGTTTTGTATGCATAACTTAAGTAGTACATATATAAAATTAGTGGCCGGTATAGAAGTTAATATAAATTATATTAATATGAACTAATAAATAATTCACAAAAAAAAAATTAATTTTTTGCCTCCCTAACTTAAATTTCTGACTCTGTTTCTAGTTTTCCTGTAGCAAATTATTTGGCCATGAGAGTC